CCAACCGGGCYGCCCGCCCGGCCAGGCCGCCCGGGACCTCCCCCGGGCAGGCGCTGGTCGGCCGGGCAGCCCGGATCCGTACACAGATAAAAAATAAAAAATAAAAAATAATTCATGTCCTCGCTGTCTGTCTGCCCAGGGCGGACCTCCCAGTAAAACCCTGACTCCTCGAGGGAGTCCAGACCTACGTTTACCCCTTCCTGCTACTGTGGTGTCTTGCGACATGGGGCAGATAAGTTCAGGTCTCTCGCTGCATGCTGCCTGTTGCGCTAACACGATCTCAGCTGGGGGAGAGCACTTCAGTGACGCAAGGATTCGTATCCTCTGCTGTCTTCTGTGCTACATAGCACGGGCTGCCGGGGGAACCCCAGGTCGATTACCGCGGGTGTACGGACGTCCCTTTTGCTGTTTAACGGCCACCACGGGCTTACAAAGGTCCTTGTTTCCGCTTAACGGCGTGACTCAGGTATTCGTCCCTCTGCTACTCAGCTTGTCCTCTGGTCTTTGTCTTTGTCTGTGATCCGAAAATATTGGGAGTTCTCGCTGCGAGTTGTTCCATCTTCCCGATTTGCCGGGTCTTTCCACGGGGAACAGATGCGCTGCCCATTCAAGAAACCCGATCCAGTCCGCTCCCAGTCTGTCCCGGATGAATGTCTGTCTGATTGGCGGCAGCTTTTCGGGTTGTCGGGCCATTGCTCGTTTGGTCTGAGCCCAGTCTGTATGGTATTCGGACTCCAAGAGCGAGAGGAGATCCTGCCATGCTTGTGGGGGGGGTTGAAGTTGATGATCGATGGTTTCCTGACATCTTCTCTTCCAGGTGGTCCAGAGTGTGAGGGGGTGCAGCTTACAGAACCGTCACTGCTTGTACGACCAATTCCACGGCCGGGTATTGAGTCCTGTCAAAAGCGTGAGTGCCTGCTGCTAAAGGGGGTCGTCCGTGAGTGTTTGCCATGACCGAGCTACTCTGTCCCAGAGTTCTCAGCCCTCAGGCAGGCCAACATGGAATGGAGGATGTCCTCCTGTCCAGAGTTACATGTGCTGCATAATTCGGCGAACATGGGAGGGTCGTGGGTCTGTCGCCTACAGGTCGGCCACCAGTTTACTGGGAGCGCCAGATAGAATATCAGCCATCACATGCTGGCGATACACTTCACTTGTTCCGTATGTCCAGCAAGCTGTCCCACAAAATGGAGGAGTAAAGCGTAAGGTCCAGCCTGGTCTGGCCATCTACCTGTGATCACGTCCATGACGGCCCGCTTATTTGCGGCGAAGCCAATATCCAAGCCTGGTGGTGTACTGCAGCAAGTTACAGCGCCTGCACACGGTTCCAGGTCTTCCCTGGAGAGCCCATGCCCATTCTGCGGGACTCCGAATGCCGAAGGCTCATGGCGCAGACAATAATTATCTACTCCTCGTTCTCGATCGCTCTGACTTGTCGCAAGATACCGCTTCTGATGCCCACGTGCGCTGAACTGTGTTTGGCCAGGGGCCTGGTTGCCCTTCGCAGGGTCTGAATCTCATGGATTGCGAAGAGGAGCCGGCGCCCATCTTTGATAGGCAAGCGCCAGAGTCGGAGGAGCTTCCGTCATCAGGGTGGCCCAGTCTCTACCACATTCCAGGTATCCGGCTTCCGCAACAGGGGTAGCCAGTCCTTAGGTATAGAAAGGAGCATGCCGTTGAGATTAGCTTGAAGATTATGGCAACTTGTGCGGAGTTGTGTGCAGGGTGGCGAAGGGGTCACCCTGCCGAACTGACGTGGACGTCTTGTAGGTGTCTGATAGATAGTCATTTAGCAGCACTCTGTCGTGCGCGTCGTTGCAAAGGACCCAAACCCAATGACGGAAATTTGGGCCGACTTCCATCCTCTCCATACATTGTTGCTGAAAAAAGTTCCGATCCACTTGATCGTACACTTTTTGAAAATCGAAGAAGAGAATGGCCGTGTTCGTACGCTTGACTGACTCTGCTAGTGTCATATCGTTGTCTGGGATGAATCCATTCTGTGGATGAAACGTTCTGGAAGCATTTATTTGTGACTACCTTCAGTCTGTTTGCCAGGACTTTGGCAGGAGAGGGTAATCGGATGGTAGTTACGAATGTCCTTAGGATCACCTTTCTTTTCTTTTCTTTTCTTTTTATTTTTATTTGATTTTATTTTATTTTAAATTTGGACCATTTCTCGATTTATGCGTGTCATCCTTGCGCAGGGGCCATGCTAATCTTCTCTGTATCGTTCCAATTTTAACGGATGTCCCGAAGGATCACCTTTCTTATATACTATAAAGTAGTATAAACTAGTGTACAGATAAAAAGACCACTGCGTTTTTCGAAGACATTGCCCCCGTCCTTCCTCCTGCTCACATTTTGCTAGGAATTTGTAATACTCGTCCGTGAAAATCGGCCAGCACGTGTGCCAAAACTCCTTCAACAGACCGTCTGCTCGGGGTGTCGTGTTAGTCTGCAGTGCTTTTTTTTTTTTTTTTTTTCCCTGCAGTCAGTGCAGTGCTGTTTGTGCTGTCTCACCTCTTCGTAATCGATTGTGGCTGTCGAGAAAGGCTGTCTGGTGCGAAGACCGTGAGTGTTCTTCAGTGTTCTGTCGAGATGTTCCAGAATTTTTATTTTTTTTTAAACGGGGCCTTATGGTCCCGGCTCCATTCTAGCTTGGACGGGCGTTCCTTTGCGACGTGCGGAGGTTGCCGAAGAAGTCTGCTCTGCTTTTTGCAGCGTAAATGGTAATCACTCAACCCATAATACCTTCAACAACAAAGGAAAATAGTAAATACCCTTCACCCGGTTGCTTAATTTGGAGCGTAAATGTTGGTCAGTCTTACTCCCTCTTCTTCTTTCCACCTTAGATCCATCCCGCAGCATCTTCCTTCTAGCCTCTACTGTACCGACAGAACCAGGCTTGAAGAACTTAGGAGTTCTTCGGTATGAGAATTGCCGTCCCTTTAGCTCTTCCTGATCTGTTAGGTGACCATAATACACTATATCTCATTGTCGACCCTGCCCATTTCCCTTGCTATCGGTGTTTTTCTGAGTTTATTGAACTCTGTTGTGTTCGTTGGAGCTAGACAAGTGTGTTTCTTGTAGTAGGAAAATATCTGCCGTGCCCTTTGTTTCCTTTGTCAGGCCAATTAGGATGTCATGTCATTTGTCTTCTTCAGCTGTGACATTACTCAGTCGATTGATGTTCCGACTAACTTCGTACAGTAACGCCTTGCCCGTTTTCCAGTTCGCTCGACAGCCTTGAGCATGGGCATTACTTCTTAGCTCATCCATCTCATGTCCTGGGGATCATTTGAAGGGGAAGATAGTAGGAAGTTAGGTCGCGGAAGGAGAAGAGCCGTCCGTATCATCGGATGATTCTCCGGGCGGAATCTCTTGTGATGTATGTCGGTGTCTCACCTATCTAGTGCTCCTCGTTGCCTTCCGCTCCCTCTCCTGTTTACAGGTCTGGACCAGTTTTGGATCTGTTCCCTCTTCTTCAATCCAGTTGTTCATTTCACATTCCAACAGATCGTCCTGCGTAGAATCTCTCATAATCAATAGCCCAAGCCCTGTCATCTTATAGATTGGCGTCTTCCCCCTGCGCGTTATCTCGAATCAACTCAGCAAGTGAGACAGCCACTAATTATGCAGGTGCGCCATGGCCTGCTAGGACGCTGTAGGGAATTGTGGCCACCGTCCTCCAAGATCTTCATTTGTTTTAATTCCTCCTTTGAGCTTTTTGTCTTTTCAATGTTTTCATGCATTTTGGCGCTCAAAGGTGAAGTAGGATCTGGGCCTGGATGTATCACATTCTTCCTGCCTTGGCTTTTCTGTCTTCTGAGAGTTGTGTGTTCAAGTTTGTTGGCTGCTTAAAAAAAAAAAAAAAAAAAAAAAGAGAAAACTTTGTTGGCTGCTCTTTGGGTTCACCTGTTTCGTAGGCTCCGAGTGGACTCCGAGTGGAAAGGACTTAGTAATCTCTTCTCTGACGATAGTCACAACAGTCTATCCCTCTATTTTCTATTTTTGGAATAGTGTGCAAGGAACATGAATATCGACGAAGCACAGAAATCCAGATTGCAAAATCACACTGAAGTCCAAGTAGTCAAAGCAAGAGCAGATAGCACAATGGAACCGAGTAACCATCCATT